TTTAATTTTAAATAAAAATTTGGTTGTGTTTAAATTAATTAAATACTAATAACAAAAATAACTTATAGTCTATAAAATTAATTATTTTTTAATAAAAAATTAAATTACAGTAAAAATTAATATTAAATACTAATAATTAGAACTCTGAATAGGTCAGGTTTGGTTGGGTAATTGACTTGACCTGACCTAATCTAATTTGTCTAAAAAAGGAAACTAAACAATTATTAATTTTGTTTAATATTTTTTTAAAAAAATATAAAAAAAATATTGATACATTTTTATTTGATATTTTTGCAAAAAAAAAAGATACTAATATAATTATTTTAACTGCAGAATTTAAAATTACAAGTTGCGATAAATCGGCAAATCAGGTGATTGCTAATACAATTATGAAAAACATTCATAACTTTATAACCATTAATCCAATAATAATAAAAATTTATTTGCACACATTTTTGAACCTGCTGAGAATATTACTTATGTGATAAAAGTCGATTTCCTCTAACCAAAGTGCTCAAATATATCTTTGAAGTAATTGAACAGATAAAAAAAAATTAAAATTAATTTGTTAAACAATGTAATTGCAAAAAATGTTTATAATTTAAAATTTAATTTTTTGATTATAATTAATTACAACGTAATTATGCTAACAACTTTATTAGAATATAAAAAGAAAGTATATTAAATAATATTAAAGGTGTTTTAAAAAAAAATAATCAAAAAAAAATTTTTTTAAATATTTTATTTCATTTAATTTGATTGATTGACCTGATTTAAAGCTCTACTAATAATCAATAAAAATAATTACAATCTAAAATTTTATTTAAATAAAAATTTAGTTGAGTTTAAATTACAGTAAAAAGTAAAATGATAATCAATAAAAATAATTTACTATCTATTATATTATTAATCATTAATTATTTTTTTTAATTAAAAATTTAGTTGAGTTTAAATTACAATAAAAAGTATAATTAATTAATACTTTCTGTAATAATAATATTAATTAATTTTATTATTTAAAATAAATAAAATTATTATTTATTCAAATGAATATAACTCACGTTTTATAATTTTTAAATAGAGATTTAATAGGATTTAAACTATTATTAAAAGATCAATTAAATTTTACTTAATAATAATTACTTACTGACATAAGGACAATTAAAATTTGTTAAAATAAATTAGTTGTGTTTATATTACTTATAAAGAATTACTTCCTATAACATTATAAATCATTAGAAATCGTTAATGAAAATGTTTATTAAATTTTAATTGTATAAGTATATATAAAGTTAAATGGCTTACAATCTAAAAAATAACAATTAAATTTAATTTTTTTTTAAAAAAGTAATGATTTAACAAAAAAATAAATGCTCATTACCATGTAATTTCCTTAATGTAGGGGCATCGGTAGCATCAGAAACTGGCTCCATCATAATATATTTATTGTTGAGAAAATTAATTACTAATACTAAGATTATATCATAATTTAGTATTTAAATAATTTATAAATGCTCTTACCATCTAATCCTATTATAATTGTTAAATACTTTTATTTCACCTTTATCACTCGAAACTAATTCTATATTTCAAATTTTTATAATTTTTAGTAAATAAAAATATAATTAACGCAACAGTAAATTATTATAGTTATTAATTGACCTTTTAAAAATATATTAAGATGGTTCATCTTAACTACCGAGATAGATTGAGATAGATTTACTGGTTGTGAAATTACTTTGAAGTTATTGACGTCTTTGTCTAATGAAAGTTTTCTTTGATGTGTATTTCCCGTTATAAAATATTTTTGCAAGAATAGAATTTAAAAACAAGTTTAGTAGATAGATTATTTATTGGTTCAATATCGGTTATGTCGCACATACTTTAACTAAACAAATATTTAAAGAAATAATATCATCAAACTGGCCATCAGTTCTCACCAGTTCTTACCAAATGCATTAAAATATGAATTAATTAGTTTAGTAATAGTTGGGTCTCATTAAAACGGTTGGTTAAATACAGTATTTCAAGCTATATACTAAACTTAATCAGGAAAAAACAACCATAAAAATGCTTATTAGGTCATGTTTGAAGTAAATTTTCTCGTCAGTAATTGGTTCATACCTAAAAAAACTATGAATAAGTTCAAATAACTATAACATTACAAAAAAGAAAGTTTTAAGAAAAATTTAAATTGAAGAAAATGAAGCTGAAACTTTCCTTATGATATTTTTGTTGAAAATGAAGCTTTTAATATTGATATTAGTTTTGAAGATAAGAAGAGGGAGATGCAGCAACGGATGGGATCATCGGTTTGTTCTTCAACAACAGCAATATGTAAATTTTTTTTACACAAAATGAAAAAATAAAAAAGATGAAAATTGAAATGAAACATTTGTAAAAAATATTATTTGCGATGTTGGACAATATCGTCATTCAGGAAAAATTCTCATTTTAATTTATTGTTGTAATAAGTTATAAATATATTTTTTTTATAAAAGACTGAATTACTAGACTGACAGTCCTTCCGATCGGTCTTTATAAATTATAACCGCAGTCCGGTCCGTCTTTGTATAAGACTAATACGGACCGAACCGCGTAGGACTAATTATCATCATTAGCACCCACAACGACAATAATCATGAGAAGTTATAATTAATTAATAATTAATTAATTTTTTAACCTTTAAATGTAAATAATTCACGTGATACAACGATAAGCGTCAACATACCTTTTTTAATTTTTTTTTATCGACAATTATTTTTCTTTTTTGTTCTCCTTACCGTCATAGATTACCAAAACACACTTCGGGTAATAATATTTTAACAAGATTTTTTTTTAAAAAAATACGTTTATTTGATTTATGGCCGATGGCTGGAAATTTTTTTAAAGAACTTTAAAAATAGAACTAACTGCTAGATTTATTTGCCTTTTTTTTATTAGCAACGACAAAAGCAGCAAAAATATGGAAGGTTTCTTGAAGACTACAATAATAAAGACGATAACGAATAACATTTCAATCGGTTCATCTTATGTTTCTATCTAAATGTTTGTATATAGAAAATATGGTTGTATACTTTTATATAATAAATAAAAAATTTTAAATCCTTTCATTTATTTTCTTGAAAATATCGTATCTGGGCTTTTACCATATGGAAAGTTTGCTATTAAAATTGAGTTACGGACCATATGTTTTACTATGTCTCGTACCTCAATTTTAACCCATATTTTAATATCATTTTAGTCAAATTTTAACTTACTTTTTTATAATAGATCAATAACTAAGAATATAATTCACACTTGCCAACCTATGCAAGATGTCACGACATGATATTTTGCGGTAACCCGTTTATATATAAATAAAAGGATAATAAAACTTTTGCAGTGCCTAACTTCTAATTTTTTTAGAATCATTAAACCAATGTTGATTGATCATGCGATTTTGCGGAAAGATCTAAGAAAGAGGCGATAAAATTTTATTTGCCCTGATGCTAATAAATATTTTTTTCTTATGTTTTGAAGTTGATTTCCGGTCAACTTTAAGTTCAAAAACGGATCTCTCTTTTTATTTTAGAATCAATTTTCCACCTTCTTTATGATTATGGTAAAAATCACTTATATTTTGCACATTTTTTATAAAGATTAATGATACTAACTACTAAATTAAACATTTTATTTAGTTAAATTTAAAAAAACTTACAAAATGAATGAGGCTTATCACTTAACCTTGATAGGGATAGCTTTGGTAATCTTACAGAAAATACTTGAGTAATAGGTGGAGCGAGGAAAATATTTTTTGAAAATACATTTCAATTTATTTAATACTTCTTAAATATTCAAAACTTGAAAACGTTATTAGAGTCGTTTTTATATGATTCGTCCACTAACTTTACCTTAATTTTTTTTTAAAAATATTCCTATTAATATTAAATTAACAAATCTATTCATCATCCCTCCCCACCGAGGTTGACTTGCAAAATCTAACCTGAACAATGTCGACATCGTTGTGGCATGTTAATAACTGTAAATACTTGTTGATAATTATTTTGTCTCAAGCTGTAATTTTGTGTATTTTTTTAATTTATTAACGTTTGCATAAAATTTAGATTTTATAAATTTTCACTATAACTCGTTAGATCAAGAGTTGTGCAATAAAATATATTAGTTTCAAAAGATTCATATTTTAATTACTTCTGATTTTAATTTGAAATTATGTAAATTTTGTGACCATAAAAATAACTGGAAATCTAAATTATTAAATTGGCATTTTCAGTAACGATTTGAGAAATTTTGTAAAAAAATCCAAATAAATTACCATATAAATGAAGTGCTTCAATTATATTATAAAAACCCTTTATGAATACATTAAAGGCATTTTTATTTGTTTATTTATATCTATCTAAAAATTTAATTTATATCATAACCCGTAAAATAATTACTTCTAAAAATAAATAAATCAAACTGATAAATGGTAAATGAGAAAATTTTGTATTGAATATTAATGTGAATTATTGAATTATTTTCTCATCAACTTTTTTTGTGATCCAACATAAATCACATCACATGATGTATACTTGAATCTAAGTAATTTATCATATAATGTAATCTTACGAGTAGAGTATTTGCTTAAATTTATTGTCTCAAAGATTTAGTTGCAAGTACTTTAAGATTTAATATTAATATACAGACACAATATTTTCAGTAATAACGAACTGTTTGTTTCATCTTATAACTATATACTAAAAAAAATTTATTTGTTAAGTTTACACAATACAATAACCCTTTTAAGTAAGAATACACGATTTTAGTTGCATTGATTTTACAATTAGTAATGTAGAATAGTATAAAACTGGTAGACAGTCACACACAGAAAATAAGAACCAAAAATAAAAACTTCTTTTTACCTTTAAACAGTATGTTCTTTGCTTTGCATGTTTATAATGCTTGTAACATTTAATATAGTTTTATTAAATAATATGCAACTGTTAAACTTTATTTAGATGAAAACTAATAGACGGCCTCCCCCTCCTCGAAATCGAGCTTACAAGCGCCGTCGCCTTCGTAAGAAAAAGTTGATTAAGAAGTTAGAAAACATAAGAAAATATCGGGAAGCGAAGGAAAAATGTTTAATATTGATTTTCTTGGCTTTCTTGTTTGCTTTCGTGTCGATTTTTTTCGCTTTGTTAAATGTTCTTCTTTCTAGGTATGATGTTGCTAGAATTACTTAGTTTACACGGGGCATATAAAACACTATCCATGTGATGTTTAAATTTATTACGAGAAGTTAGTCTAAAGGTTAGGTGACTACATCATGTCGAGTTTTGTACTGGCTAAGTAATCTAGCCTAACGTTTCACATAGTGTTCAATACCTCCGTGTACATAAAGAAATTATCCATTTTAAATGTTTGAATATATGTAGTTGATACTAATTAAATATTTCTACTATAGAGATCCAATTCACTTTCCAATCAAAAGCAACAAAACCTCTTCTTTAAAATACGTGCAAGCCTCCTCCAGTTAAAGTGGAATTTTTATCTTTGTATCATTGATCCTACCGGGAACGGAATTTTTTTTCAAATCAATTATACCAGTTTATTTTGCATTAATATAATATCAAAGTGAGTTTTTTTTTCTTTTATTTGATTATTAACGATAGCAACAATTTTTTTTAATTTAAGAATTTCTTGTTTTCTTAGTACAATATAATATTTTTTTTTTTAAAAAAAAAGTTTAATCACAATAACAAAATGATGATGATTTATTTTTTAATATATACGACACGTTATTAATAATGTTTATTAGAAATCAAAAAAACATTGAAAGAAAAAATTTAAGTTTTAGGTCTTTTATATTATATTGCTTTCTTATAGTAAATCTAGTAAATCTCGATGAAAATGTAGCGCGCCTATACTTGTCATTATTTGGATATGGGCTACAAAATACATGAAATGGTCGTTGATTTTAAAATGAAAATAATCTTAAAAAAAAAAACTCTGAAATTATGGGCCCCCAAGTTCAACCAATGACATTTTTTTAAAATTTAGTATGAAAAAATCACATGAATCTCGCGTGAGATCTAACAAAATTTCCGAACAACAATAAAAAAGCAAAGATATTAGAAAAGGAAGCGTCTGCACCATTATCACCAGAGCCAAATGCGCACGCTATAATGCCTTCATTTTGCTCACCAAAACCATTAAAAGAAATGGACCTTGTAGACCTGTGTGTAAATTTACAATATAATCTTTGAAATCTTTAGGTATGTCTAAATAAGTTTAAGGAAAAACAGAATCAGATGGAAATAACTTCACAAACGAGATAAAGAAAATCATTACCATAAATTTTTTTTTAAGATACAAGCACAAACATGAATAATTTTCTCTGGCACAAAGGTTAGGTAACATTGAGGATCATTCTAAGAAGATATTTTTTTTGTTCTTAATAAAAAACAGAAATTCATAGTTGCTTGACTAAACAATATCAGTTTATTTTACTATTGTCACTTTTTTTTCTCAAATGACTTCCATATACAAAATTATTCTAAATCGAGAACCCAAGCGGCTGTGTAAGGATATATGCAAAATTGTGATTATGATACTGTACATTCGAAAGAATAACATTTATTTGAAAAAAAAAAATTTTTTTTGACTTTTTCCCAGCAAAAATTACAATATATCAAATACAATGTGTACTACTATTGATTTGATTATCATGTCTTTACGAGACATAAATTTATTTAACGAATTTGGTACGTAAATCCGATTTATAAGCCTTCTATACGGAGATGTGTACAAAAATGTTTAGACCAGAAAACTTGCGCAACCACGATTTTTGTCAGAATAATTTGATTTGTTACTTTCCGATGGTGACATAAATACTTTACAGTTCAAAAGAAACAATTTCCAAATTTAACATTCCGAAAATTTTTCTTGTAGTACGTTAACAAACAGGATTCCATAATATTTACAATCTACATAAATCATTGCACGGGATTTTAAAAATCCTCATAAAAGTATCTGCTTCCCTCACAAATTTATTCATTTTATCACAACATTACTTGAATTCTTAAAAAAACAATTTATTTCACAATGAAACTTAAGTTTATAAAATGCTACCAAATCAAACAAAAAACGGATGCTAAACATTGAAGGCGTGATCCATGCTGCGCCGATCAAATATAGCCAATCATGTGATTCGAATCAGTTAGCCAATTTGACCAATATGACAAATTGGACAAATCTGACAAATATGACATATTTGACCAATCTACCAGATCTATTTATATATTATATTTGTTAGTTTAGATAGATTAGTTATATTTATTATATTTATTATATTTATCTTATTTATCATATTT